ATAAATGAACTTTTGCATGATATTCTAATTTTTCGAGTTTCACCTATACATATACTCCAAGTCCTATCAAAAGAAGTCCTGGTGTCCCCCTGCTAATGGTCTGATACAGAAAATATCAACAAATAATATGCCTATTACATATTGTAGAAAGTTAACATCCACCCCCCTCCTAGAAGAATGAAGTATTCTAGGAAATATTAAAAAGGCAGAATGTTAGCACTTTAGAGATAAAGAGATGGCTAGGTCTATTCATAAGCAAATACCCTCACCTACAAAGATAGGATTAGCCCTCAGCCATAATAGGAATTGCCCAAAGCCCCTCCATTACATCACCGAGCATGATTCAACCAAGCCTGGGACACAGATAGCCTACAAAGTTAGCTAAGACCCCCATCCCCTAGGAGCCTCACAACTAATAGGACACTTGCCCTTGCCACAGGAACAGGAAGCTCAAGTTAAAAACTCAAGAGAGGGTATAAATAACACTCACTCTCCACTCCTTGTGTTCAGCTGCTCAGGACCTAAAACTCATGTGGTCCTGTTCACCATTAAACCAGTGGTGAAATATTTTTTTTTACTACCAGTTCTGTGGGCATCGCTTGGTGGGTGTGGCAGGGGAAGGATACTGCAGAACCCCCATTCTCTCCCCACTCTGGGGCCAGCCAGAGGTGTTATTTGCCGGTTCTCCGAAACACTCAAATTTCTGCTACTGGTTTGCCAGAACCTGTCAGAACCTGCTGGATTTCACCCCTGCATCCTTCCAAGCAGCCCCCATGTTTCTAGTGTCTTTCTCCCATAATATATTGTAATACACAATGGACAAGTACATGCAGTTTTCTTGGCAAGGTTTTTCAGAGGTGATTTGCCCTTGCCTCCTTCCCAGGTTTGTAGGTGACTGGTCCAAGGTCACCCACCTTGGGTATGTGCCTAAAGCAGGACTCCAAGGCTCTCATTTTATAGCATGGTGCCTTAACCACTATGCTAAGTGGTTAAGGCACCATCCCAAACTGTCTCCTCAGTCACAGGTGACCGGAGGCTGGTTTCCCCACTGCTGGCGACCCCAGGCGAGACACGAAAAGCTGACTTGATAAAAATCACTGCCTGGAAGTTACTCTGCAATAAACTGTGCCAGAGCAACAACCACCAGGCCTTGTTTCTGAGTGGAAATAAACATCCATGGTGAAGTTTATATCATGTGAACTTTCATTCCCCCTCCCCCCATGCTCAGGAGGGACCTTCAGCATATCGAGCAGGTGCTCTTCCAACCAGCCCTTAAAATGTAGACAGTAACTAAAGAGTCTGTCGCAAAAATTAAAAAAAAATTCTAGCAGATTATATCCTCTCCTGGTTGACTTTTTTTTTTTGCTATTAATTGTGTGACTGCTGGTTTGTGTCCTTGCACATCCCAGCTGTGAAGAGGGCCAGAGTGGGGGGGGGGGTAAAGTCAAGACACCCACTCCTATTTCCCCTTCTGCAGAGGAGATAGGTCCCTCTTGCCTGCATTATCGCCGCTGACTCCAGTGGGCTCGCGGCATCAGGGTTATATATAGCCAATCGTGGCCAAGGGAGGCTGCGTGCTTCTCCAGGAGGACCCGGCACAGGAGCCCGTAAAGCGGAGGGGAAAGCAAGCGAGAAGGGAAGGGACGGTGGGAGGGGTGGTGGTGGTGGCCGAGATTGATGGGCTCGGAGGCTCTGCCTACCGCACTGCCACGGGACGGGCGGGAGGCCGCAGCAAGAGCCCGCAGCCAGCCTGGCAGAACAACCTACCCATCCTCTTTTAGGGCAGGCAGGCGGGAGTTCAGAAGAGGCGACGGCGGGCATCGCGGGGAGAGAAAGAGGCGGGCAGGGAAAGGAAGGAAGGAAAAAGGAAGGAAGGGAGAAGAGACCCATCACTCATTGCAACCGCGGCGGCAACTAAAAGGCATCGGTAGCCGTCCGGGGAAATCTGGGCAAATATGGTGGCTGTTCACACTTCTCATTCTTCCTCCTCCACCGAGTGGATCGCTTGCTTGGATAAAAGGTACCGGCACCTCTGCGGATACAGCAGGATGGCATGTGTGTGTGTGCGCTGTGTGTTTGTGTGTGGAGGGGGGGGGAAGCTGGAGGGAGGGGCTGGCAGCACAGCAGCATGTGCTCGCATCCCCACCCCACGAATACACACATCACCCATAAAATGAAATCGCCACTACAATTATTTCATCTATCACGCGCCACGCATGATCTGGAAATTCGGAATCGATCTCTCTCTCTCTCTCTCTCCCTCTGTGTGTGTGTGTGTGTGTGTGTGTGTGTGTGTGTGTGTGTGTGTGGAAGATAGATAGATAGATATGGATGGATGGATGGATAGATAGATAGATATGGGGTGGAGCGCTCGGCGTGGAAGAAGACGGCGGCGAGGACAAGGGCTTTTTCTTCGGGTGACCAGAGGACAGTTGCTTTACTGCCCTCTCGAGCATAATAAAAACCCCACGGAAGTCTAGTGGCTATAAAAGAATGCACCTTTAAAGAGAGGCGAAGGAGCCCTCCCTGGCTCTGCACAGGCCCGCCCTTGCCTGCTGCAGGTACCCTCCAGGGCTGCGGTGGGGAGGCCTCATGGTAAAAGAAACGGGCGGGTCATTTAAGAGCTCCCTAAAGGTCCCAGCAATAGGTAGGCTTACCCTCTGGGTATTAATGAGAGGAAGGTGAGGCCGGGGATTGAGCCCAGGAAAGTTAAATAAATGCTAGGTTAAGGAAACTGGAATATTTCTCAAGGTTTTGGCCTCAATGTCCCTTATGCTGTTTCCTCAGGGATTTGAAGCACCTGGCAGCCTCATCCAGATGCTTCTATGAAGCCATACAGTCGACTTCTTGCATGTCATATTGCGAGGTGGTGTTGGCATGGCCTGCATTATTATATTCATAGGGAGTAAATGTGATAAACCTCGGTAACATTTTCAGATTTATATTTAAAGAGCAGGAAAATGGAGTTAACCATAGAGCATCAGAAAAGATCAGATCAGGCTATACATCTGCTAGTTGGCACTAATTTAAAGGACAGTAGATCTCTCGAGATCTCAGGTACATTCTTCTCCCATTATCCAGATCTCTGGCTTGAGGCTCTGGGGAATCTTCGCTTTTTGGGGGGAAGTCTTACATGGAAAAAGACACTAACAGTTCATTTGTTTTGGAAATGCCCAGGAGGTGTGGATGACTTTTGAAATGTGGTTGACAGAATTGATGGAATGGAATCTTACTGTACAAGGAAGGCTATAGGCTCTTCACTGTATATTAGAAAGATGTACCCTATGTAAATAGCCTTCCTTCCAATTCTCTTTTGGGTCAAGATCCTGTACCTGGTGTTTTACCAAATGCATGTACAAAGATGTGGCAGTCTAAAGAAACCTCTCCAAATTGAGTCCTCCGGGATTGGGCGGCCTATAAATAAAATTAAACTTGAAACTTGAGTGCCTGACATTGAATGTTATCTCTGTTAATTCCCAGATGGCATAATTATGGGAATTAGGGTGTGTTCGGGGTGAAGTCAACTTACCTTTGCTACCGGTTTGCAAATGTGAGAGTGTGTGTGTGCTTTGCTCGCACACGCCACCTCCGTGCATGTGCAGGACCTTCCACGCATGCACAGAGTGTCAAAAATGGGACATGATGACACCTGGGTGGGTGGGCGGAGCCTCTCGCTGCCACTCTACCGGTTCACCCGAACTGGATAGAACCAGTCGAATTTCACTCCTGGGTGTGTTATGGTACATATAGAAGGCATCAAGCTGGGGAGGGCTGAAATTCAGCAGTTTTCTGACAGGTTCTGGATAACTGGTAGAGGAAATTTTGAGTAGTTCAGAGAACTGGCAAATACCACCTCTGGCTAGCCCCAGAATGGTGTGGGAATGGGGATTTTGCAGTATCCTTGCCCTGCCACACCCGCCAAGCCACTTCCACAGAATAGGTAGTATTTTTTTTTGAATTTCACCACTACTATAAGCTAAGATTTATTTATGAAATTGATAGCTAAACAACAATGGTACCTTGGTTCTCAACTGCTTTGAAACTCATCAAATTTAGTACTGATTTTGATGTGAAAGTTTTGTCTCAGTATACTCATCCTTTAACTGAACTTGTTGGTGTTGTCTGCCTTGTGACTCACTACATTAGTCCTTATGGGAAAAAAATTGCTTAGTACTCATTTTTGGTACTCATTGTACTTCCCGGAACCAATTAATGATGAGTACTGAAGTACCACTGTAATATGGCAAAATAATCCCTATACTCTTCCCTAGCCTAAAGTCTGTTTAATAATATCTTTACAACCATGCATCATAATTGTAGTTGCCTTTGGATGCTGATAGTACATTCATGAATCAGTTTATAAACTTACTAATGAACAGTCTCCAAGTATGGGTGTTAGTCATTTTCGTTCATCAGCTGTTAGTCATTTTTGCTCCTGAATATTGAAAAGTAAAAAAAGTAGTAAAAAAGATATTTTTTTAAAAAAAATGAACAATTATTTTTTAAGTTGCAAATGAGACGAAGGACAGTTATGGATTCAGTCGGTCACCAGCAATCATCACTTGTTAGGCTTATTACATATATACTTTCATTGTTTTTTTGTGGTTAATGTCAGCAAACATCCCTTAACTCCCCCCCCCCCAACTTTGAATGTTGATAGTAGCATCCATAGGTTGAAATCCCAATGGCAAGGATGACCTTGCTTGATATTAGAAGTCAATAAAATCAGCTCTAGTTAGTACTTGGAATAGGCACTATCTGAGAATTCTCAGGCTATGATCTAAATGTGAAGTTGATATAAGCATACCACGAGAAGACAGTGGGGAATGGCTTCTTTGATACTACCCAGAACCTCCACTAGATCGATTAGATCCCACAGATTAGGCCTCCTCCGAATTCCATCCGCCGCCCAATGTCGACTGGCGACTACTCG